TTATGCCATGTATAAACTGAATTAAATTAATACATCGTGCTTTGAATTCTAGTAAAACAGGTTACTCGCTTAGCGAGTCGGGTAATTTATCGACAATTTTTCCAAAGACTCGTGGAACCTACGTACTATGGATAATAGGGGAATTGGAAATAAATGCAAACTTAAATGTTAATTATGAAGAATTGATATTGTGTTTCGCTATTCTATAATAGTTATTTAATTACTGCGGTTTTATTTTGTCTCGTGTTTTTTACGGGTAACTTATAGTCTTTAGCGTAAATTGCCTTTGTTAAATTGCTAGTGTTCAATGACTCCACGTTGTGGTACGCTAAACGCCAGCAAGCACTTTTCGTCAAGGAAATCGCGTGGCCGAAGTTTCAGCTGAGATATTATGTGCAGGTTAGTTTAAGTGTTTTCGATGCAAGAAATTTACGACCGACACCATGGAATCGAACAAACAACTTGACTCCTCTTAAAACTTCCTTCGACAGTCTGATCCCCCCTTTATCCGCGCCAACATTTTCTTGAGCCTTGTCTAGTAGTTGCGGGGAGTGGGGCGTTAGATTATTTCAGCAAAAGGAATTTTTCTCCTCGTTCCTTCTCTCTCTCTTCTCTCCTCTCCTCTCTCTGTGCTCTCCCTCTATCTTCTGTCGTCTTCTCTCCTGCTCGCGCGCGCCGCGCGTTGGTAATGATGTGCCAAGCATATATCGTAAAATTTAAATTATCAAGACATTTGCCGTATCATATAATTAATAGAATTTATCTAGAAAATGTGCTAGAAGCAATCTAAAGAAGGAAGTACGTTCATTTTCTATTTTGTCCATGAATGACAATGCATGGCTAACTGCATCCTCGTCCAGCCTATGGCCTCACTATTGAGGCCGATCACGTATGAAGGTACTACAAGTCATATTTGCTCACCACCAGGGCCGAGGCGGCTAAGGTTATGTGTTGTAGCAGAAGTATGCCATCTGTCTATCAGTCGATTCTGATATATAAAATTTATAAGTATCGTGTCCGATCCGATACATTAGACTGAGTTAAATACGAATGCTAAGCATCAGTTGGCAAGCCTTCTACTAGCTACAATTCTCTATTCTCCGTGCATTGGGTATTTTTCAGTTTTATCTTATTTCACTGAAATCGATTTTCGATTAACTCTCTCTTCGTCCACTCGGGCCACTAAGCAGTACAACTACGGTCGCCGCGCCGGGCACGCTAAGCCGCGTAGGCAAGCGCTACGCTCGCGCTAGGCACCGCTGCACGCTACGGCTCGTAGGAACGGCACTAGTCCGCGCTGCTCGCCGCTAGGGCTCGCGCTAGGCTCGCGCTAGGGCTGCGCAGGGCTCCGCGTAGGGCTCGCCGTAGGCTCGCCGCTAGGGCTCGCGCCTAGGGTCGCGTAGGGGCTCGCGTAGGCTCGCGCTGTAGGCTCGCGCTAGGGCTCCGCTAGGGCTCGCGCGCTGCGCTAGAGCTCGGCGCAGGCTCGGCAGGCTCGCGCGGGCTCGCGCTAGGCTCGCAGTCAGGGCTCGGCGCTAGTCGCGCGCTCGCGCTGGCTCGCGCTAGGGCTCGCAGCTCCAGGTCGCTTAGGCGCCGCTAGGGCTCGCGCTAGGGCTCCGTAGGGCTTCGCGCTAGGGCTCGCGCTATGGGCTCGCTTAGGCTACGCCGCTAGGCTTCGCGTAGGCTCGCGCAGCTGCTGGAGCGCGCTGTCGCGCTAGGGTCGCGCGAGGGCTCGCGCGCGCTTACCGTATTATTAAAAACACTATTAGAGAAATTAATTGTGTGATAGCTTTGTTATGTGAAATGAAGCATGAAAATAAATAACTGGAATTTGGATTTTTGGAGTCATAATTCATTAGTTTGGTCTATTAATATAATTTGAAAAATTCAATACATTTGAAATGGGAGAAACATATTCAAGAACCTTCAGAATTTGAGAAAATGAGAGATTCATCCCATTTATAAAAATTATTGTTAATGTAATTGCTCTTTCTCACCCTCCTCCTCCCTCTCTCCTTCTTTCTTGGTTCTTTCTCGGTTCTCTCTTCCCCTTTTTTCCCTTCTCCTTCATCTTCAAGCTCGTTTTCATTGTTCCCTTCAGATATATATGGTCTCCCCTAAGGGAATAGAAGCTCTTGAAGATTGGACAAGGGGTGAATAGTATTTGGCTTGCACTACTTATGGCTTGAGATTTGAATGGTGGTCCCAGAAAGGGAGGAATAGCTTGTCTGACCACTGACCCTGTTATTTATGTAATTAATTTAATCATAAACTTTGGAATGAAATTGTTCGAGGATTAGATTTTAAAATGTTAATACATTGTGGTAACTTGTGGTTTTGCAGGTCCGCTGTCCAGAGGGTATGGCTCCCCCCCTGGAGGCGGAGGCAGTGGGGGTGGGGGAGGCAGTTCAGGAGACTATGAAGGCCTAAAGCAACAGTGTGACAAAGCCATGCACGAGTTGCAGCTCCTCCGAAGGTGAGTTTGGAATGGAGGCAAGGAATCGTGAGACCAATAGGTTGATGTTGGTGTGAACAATATTGTTAAATTTTGGGTAGGTCATGATAATGGGAAATGGTGGAAGTAGGACAAGAGATGTTTTGATGATACAAATAAAATAAAAGTGAACTCTGTCCAATAAGTATTTTTTGGAATAATCCATTACGTATTGGAATGGCATTTGAGATTTGTTGAAAAGATTAATAATTACCTTTCAAAAGTTTAACCTAACATTATTCTTGTCTGAAATCAAACAGCCTCAGACGCTTACTTTTGGGAATGTGATTGAAAGATGAATTTAATCTTTTAATGTGGTATTTGTAAAAAAAATTATTGTAAAGTGGTTGTGCACTGAAGTAATATTTTCCCTAAACCTCTTCAATACAATCACTTATGAACAAAATGTTTTGGTAGTAATAATGTTGAAGTGATAGAAGACTATGATGATGCATACTGTGTTGTTTCAGTTTCATTATATTATATAGAAAAAAATGTTAGTAGTATTAGAAAGGGGGTAGAATGAATTATGGTCTTTTCTCCGGTCATGTTTTCTTCCAGTTTCAATGGAGTGTAATGACATTGTTTACAGGCAACACAGTGAAGCTGTGAGGAGATGTGAACATACCATGAAGGAGTTGGAATATTATCGGGGACAGCATCGTGCAGCTATGGCTCAGCTTGAGGCTGCTGCTCAGGAATCGGCTGCCTTACGGAGCAAGTACGCAGACCTGGCCTCCGAGAAACAGCGTCTGGACAGAGAGTTATCAGCAGCTCAACAACAACTAGATGCTGCTGCCTTAACGCAGGTAATGCTTTCAGATAATCTTTACTGTCGCATGTTCGATTCATTCAATAAATGTAATGTGCAAGTGCTTCAGGAGGGATAAATATATTGTAGGACAGTAGTACGGGTTAATTTGACATTCCTTTAATGTCACTCATATGACTAATTATCCATCATATAAACATTGATTGCAATTGTTAGCAGTTGTTAGCAGTAGCATTCCCATTTTCAGGTTTGCTTTTGTAATTGCTTTTTTTACTGCTAACTGAAATGTGAACCATTTCTCCTGAGAACTGGAAAACATTTGTTTCATATATGTATTTTTAAAAATATTTGAACTTTCATTTATACTTGCATTGTTAGTATCATGCCAGTAATTCTACAACTAGGTGGCACATTACTTTTCATATTGCTTGTAAGGCAATCAAATGTGCTTCTGATGTGGCACACAGTAATTATAAAAGAATGAAAAGATTATCTGTAATTAAGTTGTTGCGGATCCATGATAGCCTTCTTTAGATGTTCTTGAAGTCATACCATACAGTCTCTCACATGTCAATTCTTCAACAAGAATATTTAGAACACCCAAAACATTGATAATCTGATTATGAATTGCACTGCAAGATTCTGATTTTCTTTATTAATATTTTCTTTGAGAAAACCTCTTTGGTTGAAGCCACGTGAATTGATACAAAAATGTCTTGAGTCGCTTCAACACACACAGTATATAATAACCTTCTGCATAATAGAGATTCTTTATTTGTTCACTGTCTTACACTAGAAGTGGATTTAATGAACAATGCACCCTAAATCTCTATGAATTTTTGTTTATTGTGTACGCTTAAGCACTCAGAGTTCTGTTTAAGTGACAATTTTAAGGTGTGACATTTTGTACACCATCCTATAAGAGTCTATATCAATGTTTCTCTTTCTTTGCTGTTGTGATACTTTCTTTTTAACATCATCTTTTGTTTTCTTTTTACATCTCAAATGTAATATCAAAAGTATTCCTGAGGTTTTTTGAGAGAAGCGAGTTGAATGGCCTTATAGGGGTAATTTGATTGGCTTGAACAAAGTTATCTTTCGTTACATTATTTTCTTTGAAGATGTGTGTGGGGGAGGGGGAGAAGAGAGAATGAAATGGATGAACGTGTATAGTATTCTTGTCACCTCATGTTTTGAGATGTTTTACATTTTATTGACATGTAATTGTTGACTATACAGAATTAAGTTTCATTATTCTCCTTCTGGTTATAGTGTCAATACCCTAAAATTCATTGGTGTTTTTAAGACAGATATTTCATGTTGTAGAGGTTAAATAATTTTGAATTAGAGTGTGTAGATAACTTATTTAATATACATAATTGGATATTTATTTTTAAAAGTTAAGTGAGGTTAATGATGTTCAATGTATTATTTATTTGATGTGTACCTTCAAAAATATTTAATTATTTGATAGTAAGAGATATGGAAACCACTGTTTTCTTGTTCCATAAATGACTTAAAGTAAAGAACATGTTTATTACAAGTAAATGTTGATTTATTGTGTAATAAGGAAGTGTAATTTTGTATTTTTGTGTAAATTTAGTTTAATGTTATTCTGATGTATAAACACTTCACTAATACACTTTACCTTCTGCATTGAAAGTGTTACTGGAAGTCGGTGACTGAACCTTGGCCTAGTGACTAAAAATAAACTGACAGCCACTAAAAATAGTTTAAATGGAGAAATTCAGTGTTGCCATATTTGCTGCTTTGCACTTTAGATTTTCATCATGATACATTTAATACATGCCAAAGGTTGATTTCTGGTTAAAAATTCTACCTAGAGGAAGTTAAAATTTTAAATTTTTTTAATCCATTGCCCAGAACGATGACACTATTACTGTTCCACCAAAACAGTTGGGTGTTAGTACTGTATTATTTTCTTTTTTCATTTTTGCAGGATGGGGAAGCTAATGCAGGTGACTCTCTGAATCAACACTACATCAATGCACTGCGTAACTATGAAGCTTTGAAAGATGAGTATGATTCTCTACGGAAGAGGTACGATGATTTGGTGTCTTCCCATTCTTCTGCAGTGACCAAGTTGGAATTAGCACAGGTTGGCAATTTTTTGTTACTATTGTTATTTTTTTTCTTCGGTTTCTTCTAAGTGAACATTGAAATAACAAAACAAAACCTTAATAAGAACAGTTTTTCTCATTCTTACTAATAATTTAGAATGGGTTTTATTGTTCTAGCAA